TTTCTAGGCACTGTACGATACATTATGTTTATGACGTTTCAGATCATCTAACATGCTTTAACGTTGCTTCCCATGCCGAGTGAAATAAACACAGCCACATAGGTGCCATTCAATGTGTTCAGTTACAAACAAAAGTATCAGCTTTATATAATTATATAATTTATTTCCTTGAAACAGAGATGGTATTGATAAATTCATTGACGTGTAATACCATTAGAAAATATTTACCGTTAATTACAAATCTATTGTAGTTTACCTCCGTTACGCTGCCAGACGGTCCGATGTCATGTTTATTAAAACTAATTTATTGTTCTGTTTTAAATTAATCTCAAGTTTGCATTGAGCTAAATGATGGCAATCCTCTCTCTCTCTCTCTCTCTCTCTCTCTCTCTCTCTCTCTCTCTCTCTCTCTCTCTCTCTCTCTCTCTCTCTCTCTCTACACACACACACACACACACACACACACACACACACACACACACACACACACACACAGAGCCATTTTTGATCTTGGACATACACGATAGGGACGCCTGATATCTAGTGTCTTATAAGCATAAAATTCTGCAAGGAAACTACATTTCACGCGTAATGGTGATAGGAGCTTACAAGACGAGAGTTTTTAAAAACTACATTGGACAATTATTCATGGGATAAAAAAAGTGTGATGAATGCATTTAAATATCATGGACTTTACTTAAACTATGTTAGTGATTTGGTAAATTGTTAACATCAATAAATACACAACCATGATCATTTAATCCTTATGATTCCAATTTACTTTACCGCTCCGGTGGCCTAGTGGTTAGAGCTTCCGCCTCAGATGGGGGAGGTCGTGGGTTCGATCCCCGGTCGAGTCATACCAAAGACTTACAATAATGGTACTTACAGCTGCCTCGCTTGACGCTCATCATTAAAAGGTTAGTGTTAGGACTGGTCGGCCTGGTGTCATGATAATGTGACTGGGTGGTACATCATACTACATGTCTGCGGCATGATGCCCCCGTGCTAGACATCACTATAAACTGCCACACTGCAGACATCGTAGCAATATGACTAAAAAATTGTTAAAGCTACGTTTCTACTTTCTACGCATTTTGAATTTTCCAAAGCAAAATTGTCTCCATTTTTAGTGAGATCCATGGTTGTCATGACCCTGACCTTTAATAACCGCTGCTGTAGCATGTTATCGAGGTTAAAATGCAATAATTTCCGAAGATTGTCTTTTAAAGCCTGCCATATGCCTTCTTCGGCAAACGTGGTGAGTGTTGGAGTGCAGGAAGGTCTGTGCAATTTTATTGTTTTAACTTCTAATGGTCTATTTTAATTTGTGGCTAGTCATTTTTGATTGGAAATCACATGAGTGGGTGGGTGGGAGCTTGTTGTTATTATTAGGGTGTAAAGCGGTGATATAGAAAAAACTTCACATCTACTGATCTAGAAACAGGAAACCAAAAGTAGTCCGCAAAACTTGTCGATGTGTAAAAAATTCCAGATCAGTATCAAGTGACCGTTTACATACAATCAAAACTTAGAAAACGCAGTCAATTAATAAAAATTGGAAATATGAAGATATAAATAAATTTGTAATGTTAGCAACTTATTATTATTATTATTATTATTATTATTATTATTATTATTATTATTATTATTATTATTATTATTATTATTATTATTATTCAAAAAAGAATAGTTTTTATCTCCAAATAAACACGCCAAATCCGCACTTTGGTCTCTTTACGGCACACGTTTTTTTTTCTGTTATGTTTAGCATAAACAAAACAGCTTTGCGTAACGTTGCGCTAGCGAATACAATGGACGTTTACAGACTATTTGGTTATATTAGTCTCAGTCAAAACACTTGACAAATAAAACATTGCTTTTAAATTTCACAATACTTTTAATTTGACATGTTATATGCACTTTAAGACGAAGACGTGTCCCCACCATTTTCACATCATTTTGTCTTTCCAACTAGCTGTTTGCAAAATGTGCTAAGATGAGTAAGGGATCTTATATGAGTATCAATTTTACATGCGCTTGAAGAAAAGCGTCCAGAGATTTACATCTTTTCCAACTTTGGGTGTATGAAGTATTTGAATGATCTCCAATTGAAGATTCGATTCATCAAAAAAAAAACAAGATGAGTTTATTTTACAAAAAAACCAAACAAACTGCAGAATATTACAGGGATTGAACTGTAAAATACTTTCGAATGCCTTTGTCTTTGCCTTACATTACTTCGTTCTTGATGTGTGTGTGTGTGTGTGTGTGTGTGTATATATATATATATATATATATATATATATATATATATATATATATATATATATATATATATATATAACATTACCTTTGGAGACAGTTGATATTTGTCTGGTATTAGTTAAAGAAAGTCAGGAAGACCCAAGTGTTTTATAAAGATCACAATGATGAACATTAAGAAAGCATTATTTATTTTAAAAATCATAATGAAGTAACTACTGTATATATTCCTGAAATTAGGCAATTTCAAGCGTGAACTTGTCACCAGTGAACTTGTCTCGTTATCGAGTAAAATATGCGAAATTACGAATTAATTACATGCTCGAAATTTCTTGGCGATCTGTATATATGTGTCTGTGTGTGTGCGCGCGCCCTTTTTAATAGAAAGCTGCAGAATCTGGAAACGAACTGTGTTACAAGTGACTAAAAGTTGATGTATTATTTTGAAAGAAGTATTATTAATTTAGAAACAAATTTCCGGATATTTGATTTTCTCAGCATAATGTTCCAGTGAAAATTATGATGAATGCGACCATGAAAACTGGCATTAGCGTGTGTTTACTATAAAAAGTATTAGACTTAAGAATGATACATAAAGTGAATTTGTTTTCACGTATTTCAGTATATTCCGACTGGTGTTTTGATAGTTTGTCAGAAATGTAGCAATAAATTATATTTCGAGCTTTCATGTTCAGATACCCTTACTTAAATCAAGAAAAGTCACTTTCTCTGAAAAGTAGTGCCGATAATTGACAAGAATATTATTTCTAAATTGATCATGTAATTTTTTGGTAAATGTGGTAAATATATGTACGTGCTGTTGTTCCCGGCTAACGGTGTATTCATATGCGCTCGATTGAGCCGATCACTTCCATCTCACCGCTGTCCGCGTGTGTTTGAGTCTGAGCTGGCTAATGTGGGTATGTGATAAAGCTGCCAAAAGCTTCTCGGTGGTTAGTAATTCTTACCGGGTTTTTCCCGGGTTCTTCCTACATCGATTATACTGGCCGCCAGTACATCCTATCTTGTGCTGAGCAATGGCGTTTTAACCCAATACATGAACAACTACGTGCACCTGCACTCATTTGTCTTCTCTTAATGACAGACTTTGCAAAACACTTTTGTCTTTTTTCAGTAGGATTTTCGAAAATGCATTGAAATCTTTTAACTTTATGGAATGAATTTGACACTGGTCACAGTAATAAAAAGCTTGTTAATCGTGAAAATGTATCCCCATCGTCGAATTTAGAGAGAACTTGTTGCCATGGAGATCCCTTTTTTACCTTACATATTCATAATATGAATATAATATCTTGAACTAAAACTTTTTTTTATTTTAAAAATCCCAAGTACCACTGGCATTTCTATAATGAAACAAAATTCAAATTAAGACAGCACTATTATCCAACGAATACGAAGAAACAAACTACATAAATTATTTCGATAAGTAACATGACCATATTCGAAAATTTACCTTGACAAAACCATCGATTTAACCAAATTTTATGCATTTTTCTTCTGCAAAATCTTTTAATCCACGTAGAAATGAGCTGCATCTATAATTTTATCCAGAAATGAATAGTATGACGAGTTTGACAAAAAGGAAAACCTATTGTCGACCTTTTTGTTAATTAAAAATAAAATTAGTTTAACGCTGTTCAACCTCCATGTGTATTTTGTTTGCAAAGGAAACAATGATGCATCTCTAAAACATGTTCAGTTTAATAACACTGGGGATTGTATGCGAATTGTGTATTGTGTATAATTTTTGTATTTAAGATAGTGTGCGTTAGAGTCTTTGCGTATTATATTTGAAATATGTAAGTAAGCAAATATAATAAAAGAAGAAAATATGAAACAATTTAAGGTAACCCAGTTCACAAGGTCATGTGGTGGTGAAGCGCCATATGTAGCACAATTTCTATTAATTTACATTCAATTGCCAAACAAACTTAAACTTAAAAAAAATGTCTGCATAAATTTGTTATATGTAGTTAGTTGGTTTGTTGGTTTGCAACGACAGCTAAAGCATATTATATATCATAATCATGCCAAAACAACGAGAGGTAAGACGCTTCCCAATAACTTGACCCGGGTTGGTCTAGAAGTGGTAAAATATATCAATCAAAATCTCAGCAAAAAAGAAATGTTCTAAATAAACCAATGCTTGGAGTCATAATCAAACAGTGTTCGATCGCTGGATAGTTACAACTGCTATCAATTTTCCTCTTATTGGAAAATGCTGAAAATATTAAATAATAAATAATAAGTGTTGTATATAAATTCAAACATACCTTTCAACGGCTGGTATTATGTGATAAAAATAGTTATGCAAACTAAATACAGAATTATGTTTACTCTTTCAGTCATTTGGTACTTTTCATGAACAATTGGCTCTATTATTGCCATCTTCGTATATTTATTATACTGTGATCAAGTTTACTATATTGTTAAGTTATTATTGAAGTAAGATTCAAGAGTCCAAATTTGATTCGCTTAGAGGAACCCCTAATAAGAAACATGATTGCATCAACTGACAAAGTAACATGGATAATTGGTTAGAGTAACAGTCAGATCTAATTGTTAATGAGACGAACACAATAAGCAATACATATTCACAATACGATTAATCAATGTCTATGCTAAAAATGCAATTATTCCTAATGATCATATATGTATTGTAAGTGATTGATATATTAAAATGATTTCTTTCTAATCTGAGTGTGCATTATACCATAACATCGCTCCGGTGGCCTAGTGGATAGTTAGAGCATCTGCCTAAGATGGAGGAGGTGGCGGGTTCGAACCCTGCCGCGTTATATCAGAGACGTATAGAACAGGTACTAACAGTTGCCTCGCTAGGCGTTCAGTATTAAGAAGTTATCGGTAGAACTGGTCTGCCTAGTGTCAGGATGTGACTGGATGGGACATCATGCTACCTGCTCCAACACAATAAACTGCCATATTGCATACCTCGTTGCGATATGACTGAAAAATTAAAGCTTCGTTAAAACTCGAAATCACACACACACACACACACACACACACACACACACAAATATATATATATATATATATATATATATATATATATATATATATATATATATATATATATATATATATATATATATATATATATATATATATATATATATATACATACCTGATTCCGTCCGAATAACTTCACGACGAATTTTACAGCTTTAGCACATTTCGACTAGTAAATGATGTTACTACTCTATGATCACGAGCTAAGTTACAGAGAAAAACAATACCAACAGGTTTTGTAAAACGTAACAAATAATTATGTTTTTGTTACAAATGAATATATGAGAGGAACTTACAGTATTATGATGTGAATCCAAAATAATCCAGGAAGAAATATAATGAAGTCTAAAATTTTGAGAAGTTCAATATAATTTTCAAAAGCGGAAATGCACTTGTCAGCCGGGAACAGTGATGTTCTCAAAATGGCGTTGTCTAGAAGTCCTTTGAATAATTCACGATATTTTGAGAATAATATTTTAGTCCAAACAATTAGAATTTCTATTTCCGTTGGACAGTCGAAACGAATGTTTTTCCTCTTAAATAATGTTTAAATGCAACATAAACCAGGTTTGGAGGTTTGAAGATGCATCACGAATATAAGAAATAAGATTCACTCCAAAATAGAAATGAATCTGAATCGTTTGCGACTATGTGTTGCAATGTATCCCGTTTGACAGATCGTACTACTCACTTTAGGTTTTCAAAATGCCTGTTAAGGAATTAGCTAATATCTTTTAAGATACTATCTGACCAGCCTTTCCAAATGAGAAGAAGGCCGAATCTCGTCAACATATTTACTAACAGTTCTATTATTAGTGATTGTCAACACGTAGTAAGGTTTTTTTTTTAGATCATGTGCAATTTTACGCTCTTTATCCTCTTATAACAGACACGATGCACGTACACAATTTCAACTAAAGATGATCACTACATTTTGCAGCCATAATAGCAAAGTGTAAATATTAGACAAAATCATTTATCTTGAGTTAAAAAAAATAAAGATATACATAACACCTCCCCTAATAAGGAACATAAAGATTTATTCAATAGAGCGCTTTCATTTTTGATATTGGTCAAAAGTACAATTGACAACTTATCGCTAGAGAGGAGGAGAAAGAGACTAAAGGGGAAAGTATTGCGGAGAGATGGGACAGAAGCTATACAAGATAAAGAGAAGGCTAAAGACGGCAGATGGTCATACCTGATACATCAATATACTGGAAGGGTGGTTAGGGCATAGTTTGTCCTTTTGATGTAGCTGAAGTACTGTAGGAAACAAATATAGAGTGCATACTTCCTTTGTCTTACGGAGACGACTCAGTTATCAAATAACGAATGCTCTAAAAATGTGAGTGTAGAAAGTATGGGGAAACTCCGATATAACACGCTTCGTTATGATATGAATATGGATTTAACGTGGTTATAGCATGTCTCAGATATCAAATAATTAATCCAAGAAAACCGTTAGGTAGAGGAAGTATTTGGAACTCTTCTATAACACGCTTCGTTATGAGATGAATTTACACGTAACATGGTTATGGCATGTCTAAAATATTAGAGCCTAATGCACAAAAGCTGTGAGTTGTAGGAAGTATGGATAAACCCCGCTATAACACGCTTAGTTATAATAGGAATTTGGATAGATCATTATTATGGAATTGCTCTTAGATCAGATTGTTAATAGACTAAAACTGCTGTAAACCCCGCTATAACACGCTTAGTTATAATAGGAATTTGGATAGATCATTATTATGGAATTGCTCTTAGATCAGATTGTTAATAGACTAAAACTGCTGTTTAGAAAATTTTCAATAAGACCTATAAGAAACATTTCATTCAACATCGTTACTCAAGCAAACCAGAAAAGTATCTTTAGCACTACCACCCACCCCGCCGCATGTGGTTTTATTTTCACATAACGTTCTTTCACAGTTTCTTATATTCTGTCAGTAGCATCTAAAACGTTGGATTGGTAAATTTTCCTCCCATTGAGGTGATAAAATAGTTTAAGCAGTTACCACTTGCTCAACCCACTGGATGTTTAGGTAATGTCCAATTTTTGCTCCCTGACTGATGTTAAGAGATTTAAACATATCTCGTGGATTTTCGTTTTGGTAACTGTTAAGGTAGACGCTTACCGATGCTGTTTTCAAGTTGAGGCGGTTATTCTTATCTAATATGCAACATACACCTGTCCAAAGATCTTTTCAACTACGGTGATGCAAATATTGATGCCTGATTCATTTTCGACATGCTCTGCTGAATGTACAAAACGCGATCTTGACTTCTGAGCTGAAAACATCACTTAATGCTGTCGATATTTTGTTTTTATTCTGATTTTAGCCTAAGGCCGCAGCATGAATTTTGTGTGTAAGATAGTTGAATATCCTCTTCGGAAAACATGATTAGCATATTAGATATAAAACATATAAAACATAAAAATTCAACGCCCTCCTCCCCATCTCTCTCTCTCTCTCTCTCTCTCTCTCTCTCTCTCTCTCTCTCTCTCTCTCTCTCTCTCTCTCTCTCTCTCTCTCTCTCTCTCTCTCTCTGATGCACATATATATACCCATTGAGAGAGAAATAAAACAATGGTGCATCAGAAAAACTCTCAAATATATACTTCCTCACTATAAAGTCCATCATTATCACACCGTTCCACTTATAACGCGGATAATAATTTTAATTTCATTAAGTGATAGTAGCATTCATTAAAAGACGGTGCCACTACATGACAACATACTATATTGCTTCTATGGGCAGCGTTATTATGAGAATGTGCTTTACAACAGAATGGTTTTTTTATGATAAACGTGATATAAAACTTAATTATTGAAACATTCCCATTTTTTATGTCTTGCAAGTGGGATTATTTCTTCAGTACATATATTTTAATATTAGAAACAATAATAATAATAATAATAATAATAATAATAATAATAATAATAATAATAATAATAATAATAATAATAATAATAATAATAATAATAATAATAATAATAATAATGGCAATAATAATAATAATAATAATAATTATTATCTGTTCATGTACATAAATATTTAGAATGGAGAAAAAGAAAATAAGGGGTTACATCGAAACTTAGAAAGTAATCGTTCTTTACACTTTTGTGAGGAAGAAATTCAGCAAGCATTCAAACATTTTACACTGATAACTGTCAACGTTTTCAGAATATTGTTTTTTTTTTTCTTCCGCTTTAGTAAGTTTGTTAATACGCATATATGGCGTCACTTTCAAACTATTCCCTGGAGGCATCGCATGGCAACAGAATATATCAACTAGCGAATTGAACTTTTATCTTGTTTATTTGTCACGATACCAATATACCAGCAAACACTGATCTTATCCCTAAATCACGACGGGGTCAAGTTTCTTTTTTCGTATAAAACGCCGAGCGGTTTGAAGCAAATAAAGCAAACTTGAAGAGAAACTCATAACTGAAAGTTCTAGCCGAATAACTTCAACAGAGATATCATTCCAAAGGTAAGTGATCTGACAAACTTTGGTTTCCAATTTTAAAATTCATTTATATTTAGTTCATTAGGTTTAGGAAAACAGCCTTGAATTTTTTTTATATCCTCCTACTAAATTTGACTAATAAAAGTTCAGAATTTGTGAAGGCCGAAGACTTGAGATTTAGGTGATGATTATTTTCAGATAAAATGTTTTTATGATATTCCACTAGCATGTTACGCCAGTTCGGATTCGTTTGCAAGCTAGTTGATTTATTTTGAAATTTTCTACATTACTTCCTTGCTTTGTAAAAGAAAACTATATTTTCATTACGTCTCACTGTGTTATTGTTCTATTATTTTATTCAAATTGTCACATTGAATGATTTCAAACCTTCAATATTATCCTAGGCATATTGTTAAAAACATGAATGAATATATATATATATATATATATATATATATATATATATATATATATATATATATATATATATATATATGTAAACACATACAAAAAATAATAAATAAACACAGACTTTTTGCAACTGCATCCCTGTAGAAATTTGTATAAATTGTCAAGACTACAAGATTACTGGTATTCTTCCATTATATGTCTAGATCGACTCTGTTCGAAAGATTTAACTGCTTTATATACTATCTCACTGTTTACCTATTTGGAGTAGAGCATACCTGTATGTAAATTAATTGCGTTAGCGTTATCTTCATATAATACTTAGAGTTTAAGCTGCATAACCAGTTACAGAGTTGTTCTTCTTTGCAGCATCATGAGAGTGACTGTCTTTATTCTGGCTGTCCTAGCCATCCACATTTCCTGCATTTATTGCAAGCCCTCAAAGCAGCCAGGAGGTGGGTGGAACTAATTAAATTGCATTATTTCAAGCATATTTGCTAAAGTTAACTTGTTGTAGCTGTATAATAGCATGTGCATAAATTTACCAAATTGTGCAAACAATTTCAGAAGACAATATGTCTGATTATTATCGAGATCTGACTGTCAGAAAGGAGACATGACAGGCAGCCATTTGAGGTGATGTTATGTTGACCATTATAAATGCAGGGCTTTTTTATTGTTCAAGGTGGAGAACGTTATTGGCAATATATATATATATATATATATATATATATATATATATATATATATATATATATATATATATATATATATATATATATATATATATATATATATATATATATATATATGCTTCCAATGAGTATCGCTAACACAAAATGCAAATCTTTATGGTGGTAAGCTACCAAAATGAACGTGGGCAA